GTATACGCGCAAAAGACAATTAGTATGCTACTGAAGACATTATAAGTAGGCATTGCAGGTATTAGCCACCTTGAGAGCAGGAAGTAATTTCCACGCAGACAATTGATCCTAACAATAGTTATTTTAGTAAATTGTGGTAGAATGATATTTAAATTGGTTGATTTCTTAAGAAATCTTGTTATGGAACTTAATAGTTCACTTTAATTTATCCCTAAAGCACTTAGGTAAGTAATTGCGCGAAGTAGTGACATTTGCTGACTCGACTGGAGACTTTTTGTAGCAGAGAAAGTGATAAAATGAGTTTGAAAACCACCACTGGAGGCGGGGAGAGCTAATCAAGCTGTCAGTGTGGATATCCACGCACGGAATTTGACAGGCATGACATTGTCAGCCAAAACCGCCCGGAAAAACTGTTTCTACTATTGAGGGCAAGAAAGCCTGGTTTGCCATTTTCGCCTGTGCATTCTTAGCTTTCCAACAATTCTTCTCTAACCTATTTGATATAACTGGAAAGTAGATGAAAACCAGTCATGGGATGTTTTTGGATAAAAAAAATGCGTTTTCGGAGGTTGCAGATGAACGCCGAGATTGTCTCCCAGGCAATGCGGAAAAAGGAAGAATTTTTACTCCACATTGATGTCAACGAAAGATAGTGTCTGTGTTTTAATTGAAGAAAAGTGTAGGATTTCTTTAAAAAAGATATCTGCGGGGAATGGATCTAAATAGAGAATATCTATCAACTGCTCAATACAAGTCCCACCACTAGCGTACCATTTCCGACAGATGAAAGGGAGGAAGGGGGGATGAATGGATGGGTACGGGAAACGTATGGTTGTAGTTGAAATCGGACGGAGACATTCGCATCCGGCGAAGTTGCATTGCGCATCACTCAAGTGCCGCAACATACCACTTCAACCAAAGTAAAACCTCGGATTATTCCAATAAACAGTATTTCCTCCCCTCTTTGACAACTTTATTCCATTCATTCCAAGAGTGAAAGAATCAGCCCTGACTGAAGAAACTCCAAGGAAGAAGACGAGAAGGAGGAGGTGAGGATGAAATCACTAATTCGCCTTAGGGGCTGAATGCAATGACTCACGCTTGAAACATTCAAACTGCTAAGGCTGTCTCTTTCTACTTCTCGTAAAACCGTGAAAAAAGAAAGAGAGGAGAAAAATTTCCTCCAAAAAAGGCATGGAGTCAAGAATTGCGAAGCTGCCTTGCAAGTAGACATCCGTTATGACCATCACTTTATAATTTCATCGCGCCTTTTTTTCCATGAAGCAGCGCTCTTTTCTTTTTTTTGCCTCCCACTTTCTAGGAGGCATTAGTTGTTCCTCCGACCTTAGAAACAGATAAAATCCGATTCAGTTTTTGGAGTTTTTTCTCCGATTTTCCTTCTTCACTCTTCTAACGCAAGTGGCACGACTTTACTCCAAGTCAAGATCGAGGTGGTTGGATGCGATCTAGGCAAGTAGTGGTCGGTTGACCTTAATTCATCTCCCTCTATTAACGCCTGTTGACCACTCACGTAAACTTTTATTGTAGCTGTGAGGTCAAGCCTAGGGTAGTACTAATAATGTCCGCTCGGGGCTTGATTAGGCCCAGTGGCTATATTGCGGCCAGTTTGACTTACTACTGGCGTTCAGACACGAGTTGAGAGGGAGGGGGTGGGAGACAAGGGGAAATTCTGCATATTTTTAGCTTATTTAGGACCCAGATCTTTTCGTTCTTCCACACTGACGCACCACCTACTCTTTCACTTTTCTAGTCTTGCAGTAACTACTTACAAGCGTGTAAGTAGCTTGCCATATTCAGTAGCAACTTAAGTAGTAGCACTATCTCACGCACTTTGTAGAATAATTTAAACCACTCTAACTGTAGTTTCCAAGGAAGCTTAATGTATATCAAAAACCTATTCATAATCCTTTTCCACCGATAGAGAAGTTTGGAACAAATTCTCCTCTTCAACGGTATTTTGCCTACTGAAGTAAACGACCTAGACCTAAACACTTCCGGTTCTGTCTCTACTTCCTTTTTTTCTACAGTCCACAAGAGGTGATGACCACCACTTAACGAAATAAGGCGGCAAAATAGAGGACGAGGGTGATACAGAGTCGCTCCCTCTCACTCGCCATCCTAAAGAGCAAAACTTTCAAAGTAAATTTTATAGAAGAGAACTATGAGGCGCTTCTGCAGTCAAGATCTTTCAAAATGTCCGACCTTAAACAAATTATCAGGCTTTTGAGGATGGAGTGGTTAGCGTTTAGAAATTGTCAAGGAGTCCTTGACAGACTGATGCATCAATGGCAACAGTAAGTTTTCATAATTAAGAAATGGACGGTCTTTCCCACCAC